ACATATAACATAATATAACATCACGTGGTCTCCTCCTCCACTGACCACTGGTAAGGAAATTTCAAGAAATCAGGGTCTTCTCTTGGTTGATTTTGCTCAAGCTAATGGTTTCATCCAAGATGTGATGCAACCAACACACGGTTGTAATTATCTAGACATAATCTTGTCCAACGATCCCTCGATTGCGACTGGTGAATGATGTTTCAGTTGGTGCGCCTTTTTCTACTTCTGATCACGCTTCAGTATTCTTTTCCCTCCATTCCACTGAATCATACACGTCTCCTAGATTCTTCATTGATTTTGCGAAGGGGAATATAACAGTATTTGTGACTTTCTCCTTCGAGTAAATTGGCTAACAAATTTTTGATTCATGTGAGACTATAGACGACTGTTATATGGCCTTTATGAGCTGTTGTCATTTTTTGATTTTTCGTTTTATTCCTCATGGTTACAGGAGCGACAAAGCGCCAAACTTTCCAAATCACATCTTTAGATTGCATGCTTTAGATTGTACTGAAGAACTCTACAGAAGCGGTGAAATCCAAAATTTTATGGAACTACCACGAATTTTGAAAAAGAAGCTAGTGAAACTCAGTCTCAGATGCGAAGAAAAAAATTGCTTGCTCAAAAAATGTTAAGCAATTCTGGAATTATTGTAATTCCAGGCTTAAGTCTTCACCTCTAATCAGTACAATCACTTCATTTGTCGGGGCACGCAGTGTGTGTCTCTCTCTGATAGTGATAAAGTCGATGCCTTCGCTGATTGAGACCACCTACAAAGACCCCTTGTCTTTGCCAGAAGAATTTTCTGCACCTACACCTCGGATTGTTCCCTCGATTGGATTGACATCAATCATGAAAATGTTTATCGTACTCTCAACAGCCTTCCCCTGCGATGTTCTACTTCCCCTGATGGTCTTCCGTACATATTTCTTAGGAAATCAGCTCTGGGTCTGGCTCCACTCTTGCCTATTTATTCAACCAGATAATGTTGAAGGGGGATATTCCCACTGTATGACAACTCGGCTTCTTAGGCCTGTACATAAAAAAAGGTGATAAAAGTGATGTCAGAAACTACAGACCGGTATGTCTGACATCATCAGTAGGTTAAGTTATGGAAAGAATCGTTTGCTATGCAACTTAGAAGATTTCTTATTTCCAATCAACTTAGTCAGCATGGTTCCTTGCCCAACAAATCAACGTCTTCAGCACTTATGTCATCTATCCCCATTTGGCAAAATGCGATTGATAAGAAAAAAAATCGGTTTCTAGAACTAGAAACAAACAGTGGAGTTCAACAAGATACTTGCCTTGGAACTCTAATGTTCACTCTGTATATAATGATTTACCGCAAAGTATACAGGTGGGCGTACACTGCTTGATGTATGCGAATGACATCAAAATATTCTGCATAGATCAACCCCAGTTGCTACAGGAAGCACTCGACGCTGTATATGAATGGTCGATGAATTGGAAACTTGATATATCTAGAGAAAAGACAACTACTTTACAGCTGAGTCCTTCTAGCTCAGTGAACACAAAATTTTCGATCGGTGGTACAGAGCTTAAACAATCTGAGAAGGTATGCGATTTGGGGATAATTTATTCTGATACCCTTTCCTTTGAAGATTACGTCGACAAAATCGTGCATTCAGCTAACTGCAGGGCTAATTTCATTTTGATGGCCTTCTCGACAAGACGGACGGAAACGCTGTTCTTACTCTTTATGACTTATTGTTTCCGTCGTTATTGGAAATATTGGCACTATGGTGTGGACCCAATCAAGGTGATCTTATGGTTGACACGCAATTGAAAAGGTCCATAGCTAAGATTTACTGGCCGAAGTTTCTACTCAGCATAAGGAATCTTTCCTTGTCTAACAAGAGAGGCGTAGCCCTTACTGGGCTCCAACACTTTAGAGATGAGAAGGAGAATGTTTGACTATGAATTTGTCTATAAGTTCTCATGGGGTTTAGTAGATATTGATTTCAATCTACTATTTAATAGATCCACAACTATAGGTCGTACCCGCGGACATACTTCAAAATTTCAAAAGAAAAAACCAAGTCAACGGGAATTTCGAAACTCCTCTTCGCAAAGACTCATTTTTGTTTTCGTACGACTTGCCACCTGTTTGTGGTAAACTCCAACTCAACTGAGTCGTTTCGAAGAAAACTGATGAAAATATTAATTGCTCAAGTGTTATTCTGAGTGCATGGAGCAATCGGTTTCATTCAGTTAGTTGATTCGGTTGAATCTAAAAAAATAAGAACAGAAACTGAATTTTGATCCTACAAGGTCGAGAGGTGACCTATTTCTTTTTCCATCCTTCCAGTTTTTGCGGTTCGATCGTTATTGTGGCTCATACTTTTAGTCAAGCAAATTATTAATGTTCTTGATATGGCTGATATTCTTATGAATTTGGTCCTTCCCAATGCCCATGTTACACGTATGTCTGGGTGGTTGGCGGACCTACTAAGTTGGTATCCAGAGTTGCTTGATGCCTTGATGCGACTTGCAGTGTTGGCGGCCCACTGCTCTTCACCACCAAGCTCCCCACTCCATTTCCCCGCTTAGTGTGTTTTGTAATCAAAAAAATTTTTTTCTACTCAGTTTATAATATGTTATAAGTTTATAATATGCATATAATATGTTTGCAACTGTTGGCATTTTTCTCTCATGATGTTTTTTCTTTAGTAGTCGATAATAAATGTCAGATGTTAGACGTCTGCTATCTGAATTATCACACAGGAGAGTTTTTTCTATTCGAATTGATAGACGGTAAGTACGAAGGCTTGAATAGTCACTATGGGCACTTATCATCTGTGAGAAACAATTGACAGACAACTCCTTCCTTCGATGTAATTTCGTCAATTCCAGCTCCTATTGAAATGTTACTACACGTTCATAATGCGTACAAAGGCATAAAGATTATTGGCTAAACGCTTTTCTATGCACAAACTTTTTTCCTGCTTAATCTGTTCGTTTGGGATCTTGATACAGTGTCCTCATCCGACGGTGGGGCGGTCCTCCGACCACGTTGGAGAAGTCCGGCGGTTGTGTGCGGTTGAAGGCACAGGCCTGGTGCGATCGCTAGCATTGCTTCTGCGCTCTCTGACCGTGACTCTGGCTTCCAACACAGACACGCACTATCTGCCCACTCTTCCGTACGAACTCCCACCGATCGATAATTGCTGACCCAAGTCAGCCGATCTGCTGTATTTTTGCGGTATTGCTGCTGTATTCAGCTCGTAAAAGCTGATATAACTCTTTTTTTTCGACTTTCTTTCCGAAAGGTGAGTATGTTTGCTGGAACTATATCACATTTTGCATGATTTTAGCATTAACCCTTAGGCAGCGTTCAGACTTCGCGACGGCAGCGCTTCAGTCGCGCGTTCGACGCGATCGATGCGCATGCTTTCGACTGCATCGATCGCGTCGAACGCGCTACCGAAGCGAAGTCTGAACGCTGCCTTAGGAAGCTGATTTCTCCTTTTTTTCGCAATTTTTCGGAATTCTTGTAAATGTATCCGCTTAACTTCGATGTTATTGACTAGAGGCATGCAACATGAAATCTGGCTTCACTAAAAAATACTTGACTTTCCTTATTGAAGCCGGACGAAGAATATTTTCACCTTTTAAAAGCTGGAAATAGCATGTCTGGAAACCGCACGTCGCACCGCTTGCCACCGTATACACAGGGCCACCCCACTGTCGGATGAGAACTGCACTGTATGTTGCCATAGTTCTCGCTGCAGATGCTGGGACATGTCACGGGGCTCGATCAGGTGCGGTGCCAGCCAGTTGTCCACCGCTGCCCAATTCTCGAAGCGAGCAAGTGACAATAAATGGTGGAAGACGGGTTGGTGCCGCGCCAGAACCAGCCCTTCTGGGACGCCCCAGTGTCTGCTGTGCAAACAGCTATATATACTTCGATGTTTTGGGCTCATTGGTGTCTAATTCGACGTGCGGTAGAGGCCTCGATTGAAGACCTTTCCCAGCGTCAGCAAGGCTACCACAACACTCACACTTCCGATGTTTGAAGAGTTTCTTGTTTAGTCTTCTTCAAAGCTATTAGGGTTAGCTCACACTGATGAAAATCATTCATTCCATTAGCTTTCGCTCGAAGGAGCCGTTAGCAGAGAAAGGTCCCGACCGCAGTGTACAGGGGCTGGTTATTTTCGAGATCTTTCGGCTAGGTAACGCATCTTCCGCCCCTCTCAGGACGGAAGATCGCAGGGCGAGGGCCCCAACACCCCCTCCTTCGCGATCAAATGGTCTGCGAAATGCCCCTGTGCATTTAGTATCGTTGTACGCACTCACAGAGAATGTACCACTTTCGTCACTCGAAACGGCGAGATAAAGAAGCTAGAGACGCGTGATTATTGCAACCATTGCAACCACGATTACTTTCACTCTGCAAGACAACGGCTTACAAGCGGAATTGCGTGTGTACATAGCGTTGCCTGGAGCGTCGTAGGGTGATTTCCTGTGCTCTTGCCGGGAATTGGTTGCACGTCGAATCCTGCTGATTGGGCTTGCCGACGTCCGACAAACTCGTCCAAGGCGCCCACTGCCATGGGGGTCTCTGTTCAGAGTGTTTCCACCAGGGTTTTTTCGGGCTCTTCTTCGTAGGTCTTGGCAGTTTCACTTCGCTTTTTCGCACTTTCCCACTGTTTAGCACCCCTGCTACCATTTTGGACAGAGTACCAAATTATTGTTCTAACTGCCTTCAAAGTCCTTTGAGTAACTCCATTAGCTTTTACCTGGGAAATCCACGACGTCATGTCATCACATATAACTCTTCAAGGATTTTTATTGGAAATGATTATAGTGGGCAAAGTTGAGAGAAGCTTAGTTTTCCGGATTAATTGTGAATGATTAGGA